TAATATTGACTTAAATAAACAGATTTATCAGAATCTATAAAATTATACTCATACCAATATGGTTTTCACACATTCATTTAAACAAATTAAAATTATTTATTTAAAATTTAATGTCATTATTTTCTGGTTTTAAAATTATTTTCTCACAATATAATAGTATTGTATTTATATTATACGAGTATAGTATTCAATGACTAGGTAAAGATACTCAATAGCCAATACACGGAGTACTTACAGTGTACAGAACTTTTACATTTAAAAGGCTAAGACGCTACTCATACGGCGGACCTTACAGCGACTAAATAGTTGGTTCCGGCTACGAAAATGGCGCAATGAAAACAGCCCCATGGCAATATTCTTAACTCCACGGCGCGCGACAACCTCTTTTAACAATGAATCTCGGTTAAAATTAATTCCCCACCCCTATGCAATATCAAGGGGAGGAAGCATATTGGATTCTCCTCAACAATACGATTTCGGATTTTCTGTTGTAAAATCCTTGTATAAGGTTCATTTGAACCGCAACTTTACTCTGACGGATTTTACACCTTGAACTACCCGGCAATTACTTTACTATCAATCTACTAACTTTCTTCAATATCTTATTTGTTTATTTACTACGCAATTTGCCCTATTTACATACCGAGGTCGATCTGTCATGGATTTTTGTTGTTGTGGGCTAGACAAGACCGCCTCTACAAATTCTCGGTTCTGAAAATTTTCATAATATTTTCTCTTTACTTTGTATTTGGTATTTGGGGTTTTTTCTTACCGTTACAAATAATAACAATACATGTTTAAAAAATTAAATTAACATTGTAATCTCTGTTCTTCTGATGACTGAAATAAGTAACACATACATAACATTTCATATAACAATCCGAAAAATGACAACAAAAAGAACCCTGTTGCTATTTAATATTTTCCCATTATTCCTCCCATTGCATGCACGGCCATTATCTATTCTTATCTCAACTTAAAATGTACTGATTTATTCCAAAGCTTAACTTCGTACATTATTAAAAATGTCTATGTCCCTCAGTAAGAACTTCCCTGTTCGAGTCCTCAGCGTTCTTGACCATCGTTCTAGCGTCCATTTAAATTTCCATTTCAGTCCAGCCCTATTCCAATCATGACAGCTTCTTTTCACAGTTTTATATCCCGTTCCACTCGTAACGTTTTTACCAATTAATAATTTACACCATTGATTTGTTTACGAAATTGGAGAACGCTCCCTCAACAACTGATCACCTCCGAGTCGTAACACGTTCTGGCATCCAACTCTCACCGCCTCAGAATACGTTCTTCTTTTATTTCTAACAGAGTTCTTCTCTTTCTGATCTGCATATCTCGAATTCTATTATGTAATGACCAATTACATTACATACACCGCAGGATTGTGGTATGAAAGTGACGGTTGAAAGATTGTTAATATTGGAGAAGGTGACGAGGAATTATACACCCGAAAATCGAGGTCACGTTAAGCTGTCAGATTATAAGGTTTGGAGTTAAAAATTAAATAGTAAATACTTCATGAGTAAGTTCTAGTTGTAGGTTCTAGAAGATATTTAAGTTCTGGGAAAATTTTACTTGAATCCGCTGTTACAATATCTAAATTCTTTAGAAGACGACAGCAATTCTTTAATTATAATTGGAGTCTTTTTTAAAAGCAATGTTAATCCAAAAAGTGAGATTTTAAGATACTTGAACTGCTGCCAAAGCTTCATAGACACCAGTTACTGACTGTGGTGTTGTGAACAAAATCAGACCCTGTCTTTTATTAGTTCGGAAAGTTTGAGTGATTTTGATAAAACCACAAAAGTCCAGTTTTTTGTTTGGTGAAAGCATCGTAGTCCTTTAAATGTAAGTTCGGTCCATGATTATTTCTCAAGAATAGCATTATTTATCAATCTGCAACGGATGATTTATTTTGTAAATGTGGATATCCTGCATAACCAGATATGTGGAAAAGGAAAACATTGATAATGATGGTAACATCAGTGGTTAAGAAAAATACGTTGGTCAATCATATTCCTAAATGATTACGGGCATTAACGTCTGGCGTTGTTTCTTCAAATATTGTAGTATTACTGCCCCAAATAAATAATTTTTATATACAAATTTCTCATTTAAAAAATAACAAAAACCACGCTATACACATCCCTTTTCCAATAATTTCGACAATACAGTTCAAGCTCGAACTACACTCACGTAATTACAATACCTTGAGAAAGTGCACAACAATTTTTATTCTTCAAATGTCTACGAATTTCGCCATGGATGAAAAAACGTTCTGCAACCCAGTATCCATCCATCCCTTGGACAAGAAGCGGTCGTCAAATAATCGGTAAACCATAAAATGCAACATTACACGCAGATCAAGAAACCCGGGTCTAATGGACTCCGCTTGCCTGGTTGCATCTGATACAAAAATGAAGATTTTTTTTATTTATTATTCAATCATGCTTTCGTAAAACGGTTGCTGCTACATTTAAAAAACACCATAGCAAACAGAGTCACAAAATACTATCTAACACCTTCGATGATTTTGACATAAAATATTGAAAATTTTGCTTCAGGGTTCAATGGACTCCGGTTGCCCATATAAGGCTTTATAGTGAGGTGGGGGGGGGGGGAATGCACGATCTATGACATGGAAGAGGAAGGTTGGGAACATATTTTAGAGAGATGTCTGTTTTTTGAGGAAGAAAGAATGTGGCCAAGGGTGAATATTCGAGATAAAGTGAAGGGGTTATTAAATGACACAGGCGAAAGGATCAGTGAGATTAATAATTACAGGAAAAGGCGTAGTATGCAGCGTGTATTATATTCTTGTATAAATGTATTGGGTAACTTGAATTTATCTTGTATGTATTGTGTATATTATGTATATGTATTATTCAACTGTTGTAATTTTACAAAGTTGTAAATAAATTATTTCTGCGAACAATAAAGGTTTTATTTTTATGGATGCAAACTAACTGTCGTTTTTGATAATCAGCGTTGCTAAATGAAGGTATTATGATTCGGTTGACACTATAAATATTTTCAGTAGGAGGAAGTCAGTCAATAAGAAGCAGTTTGAATGCCCTAATTGTAAGCTTTCCGTAATATGTGCATAACAAAATTAACTTTCCAAGCGTTCTGTATTGTATAACTAACATGAATAGCCGAGAGGGGTAGGAGGAGATGGCGTGGAGAGGGAGGAGAGGGGGAGAGAGAGAGTTGTTTGATTAATGAAGGACATTAACACCCATTTGTATGCAACTGTTAACATATCCATTGACGTCTACGGCTTCTCGGGTTATTGAACAATTTCTACAAATGTATATCGCCGCTTTATGTTATCTGTGATAATCTTAAATGTATTTTTTTTATTTAAGGTCGCATCAACTTCTAGGTCATGAGCAACCACTATTGCTTGTAACGGTATGGTAACAGTGAGGATGACACGATATGATGATCATAGTGTGTGAAAGGACGGCCACAATACAACCATACCCAAGGCGGGACTCAAACTCGCTATCCTTATGTCAGAGATCGCTACGGCACTACTGCCTTAGCAATCTCGGCCACCGGATCGGCTTAAATGTAATTTTATTTGACCAAAGAAATGCAAATTCCTGTGTTGTTTTCTGCTTGCGTTTGGAAACGTGCTTAACCACTTCCATCAATGGCGTGATTTTGAAGTATAATTACAGAGAAAAATACAGTGGTTTTACGTTCTGGTCTACCACATATTGTGAATATAAATAGAAATAGTTGTAATGATGCATTGATTGTTGCAGAAAGTGGCGATTTTAGTCAGAAAAACTCGTATTGTCGATAATTCGAACCTCTTATATGTAATAAATGACTTCTTCTGGTAAATTGTGCAGTCAAAATTCACGTTTCCTTACTGCGTTGTTGCAACATTGCCACCAAGTGTTACATTTGTTACATTGTGTGAAATTTTATGCTAAAGTCATTTAGCTCATTTTCAATTATCGTAACATGTGAATCTTATAGATGGTTATTACATTAATAATGTACATTCTATAACAAAATATTACAACACAACACCGCCATTTAAAAACAACCCCTCAAATTTTTGGAAAGCAATATTAAGGCCACCCTGAACACTGTAGACGCGCTTGCTAAAGTTTCAGGACTTTGTTGTTCTGATGCTTTAGCACTTTTCCTTCTTTGATCTACCGTAAATGACAACCAATGTGTAGATAATAAGTGTAAAGTTAAAAAAGGATTTGAGCCTTTGTTTTCTGAATGACTGAGTGGAATTTCTAGGCGTGTCAACTGCTAAGGTCACGTGAGCTGAACGTGTAGTGCACGTTCTTATCGCAGCAGTTGGTGGTGACCTCCCCCCGCTGGAGGGCGAGATCAAGCGTCGATTTACACACCGGCTTGAGGGATTTTCCCCTAACCAGGTATCGCCCACCAGCAAGACACCACCTTGTGCACTTAAGCACTTAAGAACTTGACTGGTCTCCCGACACGTGTGGTAGTGTAGTGCACGGTAGACAAGGAAGAGGGAGGAAAAATCGCGCGCGATCCTTACCTCGTTTGTTAGAGTACTGCTCCAGCATTCGTCTACAATCGGAGAAAACACGGAAAATACCGATCAGAGCAGCCGGCCTTGCACCTTGGTAAAATCAGTCGTTAGCAATCACAAGCAAGGAACTGAATGATTCTCCCACACCGCCCGATAGTGCGATAGAGACGATGCCTCCCAGCGCGTGTGCCTCTCCCACGACCTCCACCGCATTCCTCGGTGTGCGTGTGTGTGTTGCTCACTCGCGCGTTATCACACGCGCGGGGGGGGGGCGTGGGGCCGATCGCGACCGCGGGCGAGAGGGAAGGCCGTGGCGGCGCGCGAGTAGTTGGCTTGTAAATTCGTTTTCTGCCCCACTGCGGCGCCGCGAAACTTTTAATGAGGTGCGCCTCAGCGGAGGGGAACGGTGCGAGTGCAGCCATAAATAGCAAACACTATTATAGGGGCACGCTCAGGAATGCGGCCGCTCCAGCCGCCCTCGCCTCGCCGCGCCCGCCCGCCGCCCCGCCCGCGCTCGCCAACGCACGCCTTGCGCGCCTCCAGCCATTGACCACCGAGTCTCTCGCCACATCCCCGCGCCCACACCCACGCGCCCACACCCACGCGCCCACACCCACGCGCCCACACCCATACAACGCACTTGCCTCCCTCACACAGATTACTCCCCCAACATCTCATCCCCTCTCTCGCCTCCGCCCATTGATCACCGCAGCCTCTTGCCCACACCCAGTCACACACACCCACACTACCCACCTACTCACCACCCCCACTTGCCTCCCTCACCCAAACCACTCCCCAACCTCTCACCCCCACTCACGCCTCCTTCCATTGATCACCGCAGCCCCTCTTGCCTATATCCACCCGACCACACCCACACAACCCACCTGCTCACCCCAACCACTCACTAACACATCACTCGTTCCCAACAATCTCGCTCTCACCCACTCACAACCACATACTCGCCTTTTCCAGTCACCCTCGCCCACTTCCTACCATTCACTTTCCCCCTCCATTGAACACGTGACACACTCCTTTTGCCACCAACCTCTCGCCCCACCTACTCCTCCATCCACTTTCTCCCATTCACTTGCCCCCTCCACGGACCATGCCGGAATCTTATTCCCACACCCCCACCCTCTCACCTGAAATGCCCCCAATCCACCGATCCCACACCACTCGTCCCCAAAACTAACGGATTCAATATAATGATTTGTTCGTATGTGTAAGATGTCTTGTAATAAAATGAATTAAAATTACTAGAAGGGGTGTAGGATAGTTGCTAACGGTAACGAATGGAGTTAATTGGAATTAACTAATGTTATTAATATGTAATTAATATGTAAACGATGTTCTTAATGAAAACTCGTTAGTGAAGTTTTTGAAATTGTCATTTTTGTATTACTCAATAGAAGGTTTAGGTTTCCTATGTTGGAGAAATGAAAGAATTGTTTCGTGATTTGCACCACGATATAATCCAATCGATTAGGTAAGTTCATCTTTCTTTCATTTCTGCTTTGCACGAGTAGTTTCGTGAAAGATACGCGAAGGAGGCTTTCAAGACCCATTATGTTTCCCTTTAAATTAAATTCTCTTCGTGTGAGGGAGGTTTATAACACACCGCCCGGCGAAAGCGGAGGCTGTGGGCGCGTATCAGCACTCCAGGCCAAATTGTGGGATTGCGGGAATTCTGATGTGGTACTGTTGACGTAATTAAAAGAAGAAGTAAAAGAAGTCTTCTCCGTCAACTTACTTGTTTATTTCGAGACCGAGCTTTCGACGGGTTTCATCAGTCTACAATTAAATACAAACTAAAGTGTAAATAAAATACCAAGTAAATACAAAATGAGACGATGTGGGGGAATTAATATAAGTAATAGATACATTTAAATTTATACTAATTAGCTAATTATTATACATTTAAATACTTTAATTATTTTAACTATCTATTTAAAATATGAAATGAAATGGAGGATATTAGTATAGAGACCAGTAGCAAATGAAATTACAAATATACAATGCAAAAGGGGGATTAATATAGACCACAGATACATTTAAAATTATAATTATTACAGACCAATAGGAAAATATTGAATGCTATGGGGGATTAATATAGATAACACATTGTAATAGTTGCAGACCAATAGCAATTCAAATTACAAAATATTAAATACAAAAAAAGATATACAGATTATGAAATTGCAAAAGATACAACAAAAGTGGGGATAGTAATAATAATTAAAACCAATAGCAATATTATATTACAATAAGTGATAAAGAATAAGTTGAGCTCCAGGCGAAAGCTGTACCGTTGCGAGAACTTAGTGTACTAATTATTTATTATAAAATTGTGTTCGTTAAAATTGTATTTATGTTAAAAGCGGCATTTGACTGGAAAGTTTTAATATTGGATTTGTGTTTAACGTACTGAAATACATGTAATGATGAATGACATACTGTTTCAAAAGCCCCCACCAACGAAGTAGAGAACATTATGTAACCTTTGCAGTACTTAGCACGAAATGTCAGAAGTAAGTAAAGCATCAGCATGTCTAAGAATCAAAAGGCACCACGATCTTCCCATTTGCCTGATGAATCTAATAGAGCAAATATGCGTTACTTGTGTTACTTCACCAGCTGCAAGTATAAGTTCACATGAAACGTGCAGTGTGAAGTTGTAAGATTTTACATTTATATGTACCTAAAAATTAAATGCGAAATCTTGACAGATTTCAAGCTCTCAAACACCAAATGCCCTTTATTTTTCAGCTTCAATTGCTTGTCTTATTGGCTTAACGTACATTTGTAAACATGTTTTTCAAACCTTAAACTTAATAAATCTTTCCAAAACTCATATGTAGTGCACGCTAATTTGGAGGATGTTATACGGGGTTGTGCAAACTTACGCTCGAGTTGGGAGAAACGTAAAAACTTATTCATAATAAATGTAATAATTTATTTAGCGTGAACGTTAAATTTTGTTTTTTTATGCATCCAGACCCCGTTCTGTGAAAAAATAATCGAGAAAAGGTTGGTATCACCCCTCACCTTGACGCTTAATATAGCGTGCGATAAAGTTACGCAGTAGTTTGGAGCGATGGGAGTTTACCGTGCAAGCAACGCTCAGATTATCGAAAAAGATTAAAAGCAACATTTAGTTTTTATTGGATATCCCTGAAAACGGAGGGAAGCGCTTCTGTTCGCAACACCATCCCTCCAAAAGAAGGGGAGAGTCGTCACAAATTCGTCGAAATGAGCAGTTCGTGAAAAGTCAGCGCGCTGAGTTTTTGTCTGGAGATCGCGACGTGAGTGTTGAACGAAAAAAAAACCGTTAAGTGCGGCCCTGTTCAGCTACTTCCGTTGTAGAAACCGCTCGTATGAGATCTGATACGCACTGTGAAGTAGTACGTAAGTTGTTTCTGCACAATCACATAGGCCAAAGAATCGCACATTTCAAACTGTTTAAAGATCACGATAAGTGAATGAGTAGTACTCACTGAGAATATCGCGGTGCAATTCCCGGCCGTGGGCAGCAAAGGGGAACAGCGAGTACCGCGCCGGCGGGCGACTCGACCTCAATGCCTGCGTCGCAGTGATGGACTTCAAAGTCACCGTCAGGGCCTTTGTACTCTGTATCAAAATCGGACAAAGCTGGAGAGTGTTACTAAAGGAGGCGCTAGTGTCGTCGGGTACAGCTGCAGGTTAGGCTCGCCAACTTCCGCACGTAAAAAATGGTTAAAAGTAAGTGAAAAATACGAAAAGTGCCAGGTAAATTTTCAATTCTTCATAATCTACAGTACATAAAAGTAACCTGCGAATAAAGCTCGAACATCAACGCTCTTTTCCAACATTATGAGCCTGCTTGCGCTCCGCGAACAGACGCAGCAGCCGCGTTCGTTTTAAGTGTCGTTGGTAGCAGTTCGTGTTTCAGTTTCTGTAAGGTGCTGTAGGAGAGCGCGCCACTGTAAGCACTGTAATGGTCTCCACCACGTTATATGGGAGTTGAAAGACCCTGATTACCTTGGCGACGTTACCGAGGACCGCGAGAGAGTGTAGACGAGTGTTGGAACTTATTACAGCGACCTCGTTTTCATTAACCTGCCAGACGTCGCCTGCCGGATGATGCCAACCGCCCAAGATACCATCTTGTGAATACTCTGTGACGAAAACATGTGAGTGATTCTACAAATGATAAATTTATTTATTATTTATTATAAGAAATTGTGGCTCTGGTTAAGGAAAATTGAAATGAAACTATTTGTTCTCAAAGTTATCGAGAATGAAAATAAATGAAATTTAATGTAAAGATTGTAAACTTTCCATTCCACATGGGATGAACGTTTTGAACATGTAGGGAACGCAACCCAATGAGCAGTAATTTAGCTAATGTGTATCGTCATTAGACTTTTTCTTTTTAATGAGTGTCAATTCACGCGCGTTTTTCTTTAATGTGTGACTTTTTTGTTTTTTGGTTGAGCTCAGTTACTCAATCATTGGAATTCTTTAACAATGGAATACTAGTGAGATAAAATTGCAATGAATGCTCATAGAGTAATGTATTATATAACAAATTAATTAATTGAACTTCTCGATTAAAGAAAAGGTACGCTGAATTAAGTAGCTACCAGAGTGATGCTACGAAACTATTCTGAATCTTTTTTTACTTCTTGTTTTTTTCAAGTGTTGTACAAAGGAAAATTGTATTTGGTTGTTTTCTTTAAACGAATATAACACATTTTTGTTTGAAGAAAGTTGTTGAGGATCTATGTATAGCGAGTCACAGTTCCTGAACGGGGCATCCTGTTTCGATCACCAACTTTGCCATCGACGTCGTCGACCTCCGACTATGACACCTCCGCGCGACTGGACCGGGTCAACCCTTTCACTACCAATTTTTAATTTTATTGGAATATTTATTTTCTTTGTATATTCTCACTCAGTCGCATCTCTTTAGTTGGTAGCTGCAAGATTAGCACAGGACCGGCGTGTTCCAATGGTACTTTTAAAAAGTTTCTTTAAAGAATGATACTGCCATTTACTGCTCTTTTCAAGAAAAGATCATAAAATAATGTAATCGTAAGATCATAAAAAGTCTGACCTACGTTAATGTTTTCAACACTTGAATCTGAATTTTCTGAGTCACTGCTTACTACAAAATTGCAACAGAACTATCACTGCTAACGTTGAGACCAGACACACTCTCATCAGAAGTTTGTAATAATTGAGACAGTTTTTCATTTTCTAGAACTTTTCTGGTCCCTTTTTTATCGTGACTCATCTAAAGTAATCAGAGAAAAAATCTGATAACTTTATTATATAGTATATTCTTTAACAATTATACTTAGAATGTAAAGAAGAGTTAATGTTATACATTCTGTCTACTCTGGATTGATGATAGATATTCCAACATGCTAGTTTAATAAAAAAAGTATTTGTTGTCTTACTGTTCACATGTTATTGAGAAATGTCGACGTTGACTATCTAATATCTCTGTAGTAGCTACTTTGGTGTAGACCAAACAGATTTCTGTAACGAACTACAAATAATAAGAGTAAAACTATCTTATGAAGGCTCTTCAAAACATTTCTCTTAAACGTCATACACAGTAAAACGTATAAAACATTACAGAATTATCGTGTCTATCTACATCAACGATTTTTAGGAAGTACGAACATTTCACCAAATACTCCAATAAATTACATGTAATTGGCGTTGTGCATCGAAAATAATTGTAATTCTGATTCTAATAATTGGTTCCTGTAATTAAATTTTGATTTTAATAAATTTTAACATGCTATAATTAATTGTTTTATGCATTACAAATAATAAATTCAATAATAACATTTATTATGCCTGAAATCGAATATTTGCACGCATCATAATATTTAAACAAAATTATATTAACTGATTGAAATCATTTGCTACGAGGGGACAACGAAAATATTTCAGGAAGGAAAAAATATTATTGTAATATTAGAATATTCTATAATGTAAAATAACATTTTATAACGATCTTTTGCAGACGGATTATTTTAGCAATTTGTACTGTACTGTGACAAATACCTACGCTATTTCGCTGTATCCTTTTGTTTTTTTAAATGTTACACAAATGATTTTTTTATATCTTTCTCAAGTTGTTAATATTTACTTTTCTGGAGATTTGTGCACATGATTACATTTTCGAATTTTAGGCTTTAAAGTGTATTGTAAGACGTTTCTCGAAAACTATGGCAGCTGGGAAGGGTGTGGCGTAAAACAGAAAAACTAGCCGAGACTAAAGAGATTAAAAAACTAATTAGTACGAGAAATTCTGTGCAATTTTGTAGCATTACTAGTTAATATGCTCCAAAAAGGACATTTTAAAATGGTTCAGGATCATGAAATGTTAATATTTTAACTTATAAAATAAATATTGGAGGTAGAAGGAAACAATAAGAATGCATTCCATATGAAATGTGTTTAGCTAGCTCAGACACGTTATAGCGCTCGCGAATTACACCAGCAGAAACGTCTTCGACCCAAATCGCACCAATAGTAAGTGCCGAACACATCCTCGCAGCACCAATACCCAGTAATTGCCAAAAACACCCTCGCGCAGAATCCGCCTTCATCTTCGCGTCGCCCTGAAACGGCGACCTGTGACGAATCGCAAGCCTATCCCTCGCTCTCCCTCCGGCACTTCAATTAGCGCCTGCATTCCTGGCGTTGATTGAACGTCTTAGAGCGAGCTTTATGTTGATCGCCGAGTGTTGCATACTTGCGTGATTACCTCGGTTGCTGTGCCACCGACTCGAGCGTCTCGTAAACAAAATAGTTAATTTTCCCCATCGCCTCCTCTTAGGGGTAAATTTGCAAAGTTGGCGCGCCTGGCGCGGGAGGCGGGGCTGCGAGGCTGCACCAACTTCGCGTATGTGTCTCGTGGAATGAAGCCCGCGATGGTCTTATCTTGGAACAATATAGCGTTCTTGAACACTGATGATGTCGGCTCGCTATTATCAAAGTTAATAAGCATGAAACTGGAAGTCGTAAAAGATAAATAAACGCAAAACGTTTATCATGCGTGTGATTAATGAATTGTGAAGTTATAATACGCGCAGTTCCGTAATTAGTATCAAAAGACATTAATGTCCTTTATGGCATCTAGACACCTTGATAAATTTAATCGTAATCCATTGATGTAATGAAATGTTTTCAATGTAATTCTAGTAAAGTTTCAATGTAATTCATGTAATACAATAACGTGTTATATCTGAAAAATATAAAATTTTATTTAAAAATAATACAAGATAAATCAAAATATTTTGATTGTATTTAATATTTTTATACATATAAGCAAGCGGGGCACGTAATTTGTTTTCAAACCAGAGGCGTCAAAAGTTCTACACATCGATTAAAAAGGGTATCAGGTTTAAAGAATTATTCAAAACGGGCATGGAAATTCTTTATTTTTAAAACAGCTAACAACAGATTTACGAAAGTAGATAATTCTGAAATCAATATTTGTTTATAAAATTTATCTAAAAACAAGTTTTAGTTTCAATTGAACATTTATCTTTAAAGAGTTTCCTTCATAAAACATTAAAAACAAGAGTCTTTATCACTAGAGTGATGTCCGTGAAAAGAAAGATGCGATTTATGGAATTGGAGATTCATATTTAATAATAGGTGATCAGTGAAGATAGATTTAAATTACCTTCAGCTCAAAAGAAGTTAATTAAATCAATTTTTCAGAAAGAAAAGTTGAAGATTGAAGGTTAAGTGTGTTTCTGTATATCCATATGACGTTGATATTTGTGATGAATTCTCATTGCTCTCTCGTTTTGGAAACATATTCAGATTTTGATTCGATGAAATCTCTCACTTGGTACACCGGCATTAGTCACTGTTCTTTAGAACAGCTTTTTCTAAAATCAGGCAATGTGTTGCAATATCTCTCCAAATGAGTTGCTCAAAGTGCGCATGTCAGGAGGATTGGGTGTGAGCTTCTAGGTGTCACGTGCAAGCGAGTAGCAGCTATATCCACTAGCAGCTTTTCCTTCGGCATTGGGGTCTCGTGAGAATTCTTGCGAGTGGTCTCTCAAGGGCTTGCGTGTCGTTGGCGTCGCTTGTAATTCCGCGTCGACACAGGCAAAATGGGTGGGGGCAAGAGTGACAGGGGAAGTGGAAAAGAGAAAGTAAATTGTCACGGAACGTCATGTGATCAACATTGTCGAGAACATGGCAGAAGAATTGCTTGGAAGTGAAGATGTTTAAGAATTCACGACGGGGTAAATTCTCAGAAGGCCAGAATGTGAAAGTGAAAGCATAAAGGGTAAAGAGGTTGCGTGTCAGGAAAGGGGCGAAACTTCACAAATTGGCCGAGTTTCCAGTGATACTGACCGGGTGCCGTGGACCGTTGGGATAAAACATTAAAGAATAGGTGACGTGCAATGCACGATAGGTTTTGTTACATAACAACGTTATATAAGGTTTTTATTTAACGTAGCAACGTTTATGCAACGTTGTCCAACAATAAATAACAACGCAACATTGGAAACAATCTCATTATTTGAATTGTTACAATTGAAATATCAGAATTTTTAAGAAGAAAAACTACATTAGTTGATCTTAGGTCAATTGATTGGCTATTTTTTTCTTGGCACGTCAACTGTAGTGGAAATTAGTCCCGGTACTGTAGGGCTTGCTTTCTCCCGAGGCGGTGATGTACCACTGCAGAAGCGTGATATTCGGCGCCTGTCTGTGAGAGTGTGGAGGTGCGTTTCCATTTGGTCTCCCGAGATGTGGTAGTGTAGTGCTTGTACATTAGTGTGCGTGTGTGTGTGTAAGCTGAGGGAAGGAGACAAGATTTTATTTATCAACCTTGGTGGGGTCCAAAATATACCACAATCAGAAATTAAAGCCTGACTAAGGTGACCAAGTGCCCTAAGCTATCTCAGCTGATATTTTTCATCAAAGAAGACCATTAACAAAAATATTACCACAAACAACAGTTTGAAGCATGTCCAGCAAGTCTCGAAAATTAAATTGAAGAAGTGAAGTGAAGATGGAATGACCAGGTGATTGAGTTTCATAAGAAAATAAGAAATTTTTCGAAGTTCGAAACAAGTAAAAAAACTAAACAGCTATGTCCAAGCTGGTGTTATTACAATAAAATAATAACATACCGCCATAACTGTGATCCATAGAACAGTTAACAGTTCCCAAATGTCTTGTAGTTATAACGTTCTAAAAGGGCACTCACCGACTAAGAAACCGCTATTTTATTCTGTCTTTCTTAAACGACTTGTGCTGACATCATATCATGATATCATATCATATGGTGTAGAAACTGGCCGTGAAAGCCTACATTGTATGTTGACTGGTGCTGAGTTCGCCAATTTGGAAAAGCTCTAAGCTCCCGAATAGTCTCCTGACATGTGTTGTAGTGTAGTGCATGTAAGTGTAAGGATGTGGAGAAGTCATGTGAGAGGATCGGAAGATTGCGCGCGATTGATGGCTCGATTGTTAGGATTCTGCTTTAGTATTCGCTGAAGGGTTGAGGAGCCGAAGTGGGATGCTGTGGGAAGAAAAGAAGCAGAAGCGCAGTATAGCGATGGGAATGAAAGGTGGGAAAGTGACGCGGTGGTAGCGGGGGTTTGGGATGTGGGGGCGGAAACGGAGTGTGGGATGCTGTGGGGAGATGGCGAAGCTGCCCTAGAGCAGCGAGAGTTGACACCGAATCGGAGCGGGCGGGCGGGCAGCTGAGAGCAGCGCGATGGAGGGGTCGAAAGAGGAGGGGAGGGCGTGGCGGGGCCGCAGGGCGAGGGGAAGGCTGTGCCGAGGTGAGCGGTGATGAACTGGGACGGAGCGCGGCAATTGCCCACGTCCCACAGGAAGACATAAATTGCCCTCGCCCGGACGGAGAGAAAAATATAAAAGAACATAATCTACAGCCCTCAGCGGGGCCGGCCGGGGGCGGAATTGTTCTCTTGATAGCTTCAAAACGCGGGCGCGGACGCTGTGTGGGCCGCCCTTCGCCTTGCAGCCCTTGCTGTTTATGAAGGGAGGCCGCTGCGTGTCACTCCGCACTGTTGTTTGGGCCGCGGAGAAATCCCAAATGACTTTCTTGTGGTTCAGCATTTCTTTCGCAATTGCAATCCATGAGGTTTAACGTTGTAGAATATGAACCTCGGGTTGTATTATTTCATGTACAGTTTTGTTTGAGAATGTTGTATAACTTTTGTTATTTTCTGCACCTTGCCCACAAAATTTTATATGCAAATTCCAATACTACTCACAATAATGCAGGCGGTATGTCAAATCTCAGAAATGTTATTTTATCTTGCGGATATCTCCTGGATCGCAATGCTCCAGAGCAAACTCTTACGTTAGATCCGCGATACCAAGGATAACCGTACGGCGCATCGGCTGCGGAGCCCTTAAAATAACCTCCATTTCCCAAGACCGAATTAAAGTAATCACGATCGACTTTCAGTAAATTAATACATTTTTGATACTTTTAGAAATTTGCCAGTAACAAGAATTGTAGACAGAGGCGGGCATCACATTCGTCCTTAGTGCACACTGGGATCAAAACTAAGAAGATTTCTGTGACAGTTCATATCTAAAATTGGAAATATTTGCATTAATAATGAAAACAAGAAGCAGTTTCAAAAATGAGAATTTAAAAAGCAACTTGGTAAATTTGTTCAAGAAATTGGCGAAGCATCCTGTGAATGTGAAAAGTACAAGAACAGTGATACGCAAATCTCGTTGATTGTGTACTCAAGCTCATACGTAAGATCATACGTAAAGATAATACATACAAATTCATTACTGACATTTACACACACATATACATTATAATATACATTATAAAATTTGCATTATGAGAAACAGCAAATAAAATTGTATGCTTTAACAAGTGTTAATGCATATTATTGTTAAATTCGAAACGTTAAAAGACGAAACTTGCAACGAAACTTTTTCTGGCTTCTGTTTTCTCCCTGGCGCGCCTAGACGACCAATTTTATTTTTTCTTCATAATTATAAATTTCTTTAAAAATTAAATGCAATTATATAAATATTGTGAATATTCGAAAAGTATTTTTGGCAAAACGGTGCAATTAGAACTTGGTAAAAGCCATGCTGCAGCGCGCAAGGTCAGCTGACATTGCTGACATCATGTACGTGAGTCGAGGCTCCTTGTCGGAAAACGTGAAATTGTGCCGAATACGGGACCCCTATGCTCGTATTGGCAATGCTAATGTCCTCGGTTTGGGATTTTCACAAGCTCTCCACGCGCAAGGAAGGAGGCGTGTTCGAAATTACATTGATTTCGGCGGAGATTTGTATCTAAATACCTTTATTAAATTATAATTTGGGGAGCCTATCGCATACCAGGGAAAAAGAAGAAATACACATACACTGAGAAAAAATTGCAGTACATTTATTTCTTTTTATTTAATCACTTTGTAACAATTCCCTAGGTTTTATTTGATGTCTCTTCAAGACGACAGAACATTCCGCAACAATATTCTGTTCACTGAATGCAACATTTACGAGTGAACTTAAAAGAAATGCGCCCTAGTGGGCGACTCAGAATCCCCACTGGATTAGCCTGCAAGTACAACATCAACGGCAGTGGCGCGTAAACGCGTGGTGTGCAATTCTAGGGAATTTTGCAATTGAGACACATTGCATTGATGGAAACCTGAC